TTTTGTATAGAGGGTTTAGTGCTATTGCAACTGACCATTCATTCTCACCGTGTTGTGTGGTTTTGAACTTGTGGCTTTTGAGTGGTGTCTTGATGTGAATTCGTTGAAGGAGCAAAATAGGAATAACAAAAGTTGATAAGACAAATAGAAGAACATGAAGCACACCAAACTCATATCATCATACAAGCAAGAAAAATAGAATAAGGCTAAGAAAAGGTAGGCAATTTTATGAGTTTGTTTTGCTGTTTTTGGGCTAATGTAAGAGTAGTTGTTTCACTAAAACTATATATATCTGTGGAAGTGAAAAGAATCTCTTGGGGAAATCTCAAACAAGAGTATCTCGAAATGTAACAAAAGCTCATTTCTTATTATTTCTTCATATTATTAACACTTNCTTGAGTTGTACGTATTAGAGAANTTTTGTGGAGGNCCAAGCCGATGATAGGATTTTTAGATCTTTGGNTTAAAGAAATGGTGGAATGCTTCCTATGTTATTGTTGAACTCATCTCTGCCAAACGCGTTAGCACATGTATTTGTTTTTAGTGTAGACCAATCTGATCTACAAGAAAAATAGATCAATTCAACAAGGGATCTGTGCAAAAATGTAAGTCACCGTGTTATACATATATAATCACCGTATCGTTGTCTTTAATGGCATATATATCCCTATCTTGATATCTCGGCTACCTCATGGTTCCCTATAGCTATATCGTGTTTTTAGTTGGCATTCTTTATAAAACTAATAGATTTGGTTTGCTTTTGGTCCATTTATATGTACTAACACCCAAGTTATCCACCCAAGATGAGCGCAAGACGTATGTTGAGAAGCTTGATGAGACATGTGATAATAGCTCGGATTAGAAAGTTTTTCGTAGAAAGAGTTCTTTATTATATTTTGTGGTACAATATTTGGAAAAATCTATTTAACAACCTATTTCTTTCTTTTAACTTTTGTGATATTTTTTATATTAATTTTTGTGTTTTATAAATTTAATATTATCTTCTGTTAAATCGTATAAAAAATTGCATATCACCTAATGCTANATNANAAATATCAAATCAGNNTTGCATATATANTAATTAAAATAATTTAATAAATAGTTTTGTCAGTTCTTAAGAACACAAATTTGTTAAAAATATATGAATCAAAATGGAATTAAATTATAAATAGATAAAGTTTTCCACCCCAAAAAATTATGAAGTTTGAGTTGACTAAACCATTTAAACCCTTTAAAAATCTTACTTGAATAACAACATTATCCACGTTAGTATGCGTTTCTTTTT